ACAAACTTCAAAACGCTACAGAATATTTACTACTGAATAATATTAATAAGATTTTTTACTAAAATTTTTCTTAAATTCTACTCTACAAAATAGCTATCTTAGATTTTTTTTTTACATTTTATTTAAAATTTAAAAATAATTAATATTTTTAATAAAATGTAAAAAAATTAATTATTGAGATATAGCTATAGACCTAACGTAAAAATATTATTTAAAAAAAAAATCAACTAAAAATATTAACTGGATCAAAAGTTATTTAAGTTGTCAGTGAGTGGTGGGCCACTCTGTATAATAATTATATATAAATATAAATAATTGTGAATGTATCAATTTATTTAAGATACATTGAACAAATGATTTTTTCATAACAAATGTTAAAACTCGTACATGCGACATATCTTTCAGAAAATGTTAGCATAGTACAGCCATTTTTTTTTTGCATTTGCAAATTTATAGCGCGTACTAGTGACATAACTGTCTCGATATATCAAACTATGTACAGTCCGCTATTTTTATATTATAAGATTAAAGTCATCATTTGTTTTGAAAGTGTAACATAAATTAAAACCAACTTTTATTTATCAATTTGACATTTTATAGGCAGTTCTCAAAATCAAATGCATATGTTTATATACATACATTATATAAACTGTATATATATACAGCGTTCAGTAAGTAAGGAAATAGGCCAGTTGTTCAAACAATGAGAACAATAGAAACCCGTTCCCTTACTTACTGAACACTATATATAATATAATACATATAGGTTATGATAAAATAGAGGTATCATTAATTTAAGAACCAACTTTTTTGTTTAAATTTCACAGTCATATATTATTTTCAATTAATAAATGCACATCATTTTTTTTTGATCTAAGATATCAATTCTCGTATATAATAAATTGTGTTTTCAATATTTTTTTATGAGGGATAAAAAGTCTAAAGTTGTTTAAGCTGAAGTGAAGTATATTGAAAAAAAATTAAAAACAGTTAGTACTAAAGGCGCAATTTGAAACAATGTGACATTGATCTCACAAAAAATGTAGAATATATATATGTGTTCTTAAAAATTTTTTTGTAGGGTTAGAAAATAATAACACTTACTGAAATTTATAGATGTGCCTATAAAAAAGTTCCGGCGAAATGGAAAACCAGTTTAGATTTAAATTTAATAGCAATTAAAACCACTACTGTAAGACGTTTCAATTCATATTGCATCACTGTTTAAAATTTCATGTACATTCCATGAAACATTGAATACTAGCTAATATGATTGATTAATCTGTATGAAAGAGAAGAAAGAAAATTAATCATATTAAAAAGTATAATAAAACTCGAATTTAGTAAGAAAATGTCTGTGTGTATTAAAAGTCTCTTGTTTTCATGTTAATGTAACTTTGAATAAACAAGAATATTATCATAATATTAACAAGTAGCTAGTAATTATGTTATAAAAATTATTGATATTAGATAGCAAAGGCAATATTGTAAAACTAGTATCATCAAAGGGCTATCGCTTTTTGTATGCCCCAAGTAACATTTTTATTAAAACAGAATAATATAATTAAAAGAAAATAGAATAAATGTGTATTAAATTAAAAGTTAAATGTTTTATATTGAATTAACGAATATTAATAATTTAAATGTCATTTACTATTAAAATAAAACTTGACACATTTTATTTAATTTAAAATATAGGTTCTCATTTGATAAAACAATGTTGATATNTTACTATTAAAATAAAACTTGACACATTTTATTTAATTTAAAATATAGGTTCTCATTTGATAAAACAATGTTGATATACTGACAAGGAATTAGAGATGAATTTAAAAATTATTACATAGCTAATAATTCTAGAGTTCAAATATAGTATTATTAAAATTCATATTCGATAATTCTATCAGCCAAATTCAATTATTAGATATCAATCTAGCCTTAATTTTGATATGATATTTTTTACAACTATTCTGAATTATATTCAACTAAGTTAAGAATATATTAAAAAGTTTATTATAATAAAAAAACAAAATGATAAATTTATTATTATTAAAAGTATAGAAAAAAATTTTCAACTGTAGATT